CCGCATCTACAAGATGGCCAGTACCGTACCACCCGCTCCTTTCGACCCAGCGACCGAAGACTGGGAATCCTATATTGATCGATTCCAGATGTTTCTGGAATGCAGCAATCTCAAGGACGCCAACGGCCAGAGGAAGCGGGCAGTATTCCTAACGCACTGCGGGGCCGCAGTGTTTAAAATGGCCAAGGCACTCGCGAGGCCCACAGACGTTAAGGAGATGGATTGGGCTGATCTCGAGCCCATCCTGCGCCGCCATTACGCCCCCACCGTGCCGATCCTCATCCGCAGGTATGACTTCTACCGCCGGGACCAACGCGAAGGCGAGTCCATCAGCGATTTTGTGGCCCAGCTGCGGAACATGGGCGGACCGTGTGAGTTCCCCGAACTGGACCAAGCGATCCGGGACCGACTCGTCCTCGGACTCCGAGATCCCGCGCTGCAGAGCCGACTGATGGCCAAGGGCAACATCTCCCTCGCCGATGCCCTCGCCGAGGCCACCGCAGCCGAGGCCACCCGCCAGTCCGCAGCCCGGATGAGACAAACCAACGCGCCGGAACGGCCACCCACCGATGAGGCATCCCCAGCCGCCGCGAAGCCCCGAGACACCAGCCAGCGGGAAACGACCGCACACCATGGCGACCTCGAATCCCCGCCAGACACCGAGGATGAGGACGAAGAGATCCATCGGTTGCAGACCGAACGTGATCGCCGAGACCACCGGAGTCGTAAGTCGGGGTTCCGGTGCGCCGGGTGCGGCGGCGATCACCCCCGCTCCGAATGCCGTTTCCTCGACGCCATTTGCAGGCATTGCGAGAAGCGGGGACACATCGCCAAGGTGTGCCGGAACAAGAAGAGCTATAGCCCGCGCCGCCGAGGCGACAGCCCACGTCGACGAGACGGCACCCCACCCAGGCACCGAGACCGACCCGCGGAGAGCCGGTGGAGCCGCGACAACCGGAGCCGACGACTCAGCGAGGCACAGCGGCGCGAAGAAACCCATCAGACGATCGTCATCGGCCACTCATCAACCACCGACGCCCGGAAGGTGCACGTGGCCCTGAGCATCGAGGACAAGCCCTGCGAGATGGAGGTGGACTCCGGGTCCTTCCTCTCAATGGTATCATGGCGCACAATCAAGCGCCTGGTCCCGACCATCCGCCGCAACGAGCTGGACGACCAGAAGCTAATCCTGAAAGACTATCAGGGAAATCGCATCCCTGTAGTTGGCATCGGGCACTTCAAGGTAACATTCAAGAACCACACTGACATCCTGCCGCTCACGATAGTGGACCGGGACCGCCCCAGCCTGCTCGGCCTACAATGGTTTGCCCCGCTCGGCATCGAAGTAACCGGCATCCACCGCACGGACACGACCGACTGGGAAGCGACCCTCGTGAGGGACTTCCAGGAAGTCTTCGACAACTCGCTAGGCAAGTACCGTGGGCCCCCTATATCGTTCAACCTTAACCCCAACGTCGCGCCCATCCGCCTTAAGCCCCGGCGAGTGCCTTTTGCGCTCAAACCAAAAATTGACGAGCAACTAGACAAGCTCGTCGCGCAGGGGGTGCTTGAACCCATCGACCATGCCCGTTGGGAGACGCCCATAGTCACCCCCATCAAGCCCGACGGCTCTATTAGAATATGCGGGGACTATAAGGCCACCCTTAATCACGCGCTACAACAAAGCGCCTACCCCGTCCCAGTGGTGCAGCACCTCCTGCATTCACTGGGGGGAGGCCGGGTCTTCGCAAAACTCGACTTGGCACAAGCCTACCAGCAACTGCCGGTCGACGCGGAGACCGCAGAAGCGCAAACGATTGTCACACACCGGGGGGCTTTTCGCTGCAACCGACTCCAGTTCGGAGTCAGCGTCGCCCCGGGGATCTTCCAAAGCCTCATGGAGAGGCTCCTCCAGGGCATCAAAGGGGTGGTTCCATACTTTGACGACGTGCTGATCGCAGCCGCCGACAGAGAACAATTGGAGATCCGTTTAAGGGCGGTACTTAACAAATTCCAAAACGCCGGCCTTAAAGTCAAAAGGGACAAATGCCAACTACACACCGAGAGGGTCGAATTCCTGGGCTACCTTCTGGACCGGCACGGAATACACCCGACCGGGAAGAAACTTAGGGCCATCAAGGAAGCCCCCACACCAACCAACAAGGCGGAGCTTCAAGCATTTCTGGGGTTACTTAACTTTTACAATGTTTTCCTACCCCAGAAGGCGACCGTGGCGGAACCCCTACACCGGCTACTCGATAAGGCGGCCACCTGGACCTGGGGAAAGCGGGAAGAGACTGCGTTCCAGCGAACCAAGGACTTACTAACATCAGACGCGGTTTTAATTCAATACAGCGAAACCCTCCCGCTTTCAGTGACATGCGACGCCTCACCCTTCGGTATAGGAGCAGTCCTCAGCCACACCCTACCTGACGGGACGGAAGCACCCATCGCTTTCTTCTCCCGGACACTAGCAAAACCGGAAAGAAACTACAGTCAGCTAGACAAAGAGGCCCTCGCCATCGTCGCTGGAATTAAAAGATTCCACGAATACCTTTACGGCAGGAACTTCTCAATCATAACGGACCACAAGCCCCTGCTCGGAATACTCGCAGGGAACAAGGCCACCCCAAACATCCTATCGCCCCGGATGACAAGGTGGTCCGAATTCCTTGCAGCATACTCCTACGAACTCTCACACCGACCCGGTAAGGCAATCCTACACGCGGACGCACTAAGCCGGGCACCACTACCGGACGTAGATGACGACCCAGCACCCACAACGACGACTCTGCAGATCGAGACCATGCCATGCCCGCTCTTAACCGCGCCAGACATTGCCCATGAAACAAATAAAGACAAACGGCTGGCGCGGATACTGAGCTGGGTAGAGCGGGGATGGCCAGAAGATGAAGGCAACGAATATTTTAAACCCTTCAGAAACCGCCAAACTGAGCTGTTCTCACAAAAGGGCTGCATTCTCTGGGGTGACCGGGTAGTCATACCGGAAGCACTGCGAGACAGAGTGTTGACATTGCTGCACGAGGGACACCCGGGGATCGTCAAGATGAAAGCCCTGGCCAGGAGCTACGCTTGGTGGCCAGGGATGGACAAACAAATAGAAACTTGGGTCGCCGGGTGCAGAAAGTGCCAAGAGTCAAGAGCCAACCCCCCCGCCGCTCCAATCCGGGAGTGGGAAACCCCGAGAGGACCATGGTCGCGGTTGCACATAGACTTCGCCGGACCAACCAAGGGGTATACATTCCTCATCACCGTAGACGCTTACTCCAACTGGTTGGAAGTAAGCACCATGAGAACAACAACAACGGAGGCGGTCATCGACAAACTCAACAAACTCTTCGCAACGCACGGGTTACCGGACGTCATAGTGTCGGACAACGGGCCCCAGTTCACGGCAATACCGTTTGAGAAGTACCTGGCCGAGCGGGGCATCAGACACGCCCTAACCTCGACGGCTCATCCGGCGGCGAATGGTAGGGCGGAACGAATGGTCCAATACACAAAAAAGGCCATTCAGAAAATCGAAACCGGCGACATCCAAGAAAAAATAAACAAACTACTGTTCATTCAACACATCACGCCGAGCACAACAACGAACAAGAGCCCGGCAGAACTACTGATGGGGAGGAAACTACGATCCCCATTAGACCGCCTACACCCCACCTACAACCCAGAAAGACCCCCGGACTCTTCCAGCCGGTACCGGTCATTCAACATCGGGGATGCCGTCTACGCAAAAAACTTCACGGGAGACCCTCTCTGGGTGCCCGCACAAATAACGCAGGTAACGGGACCCCGATCATACAGGCTACAAACTACAGACGGAAGAAGCTGGAAGCGGCACATCGACCAGCTACGGTCCAGACTAGCCTACAACACCCCCAGCGACCCAGCGACAACGACTGCCCAAGAGAGGAGAGAGGGAAGGGAAGCCTCAACCACCAACCTAGAAGCCAACAATAGACCAGAACCAACCGGGACACACACCCCAGCGCAAGCTGGACACCACCCACCTAATGACAGCAACGACCAAACAAACCAACTAGACTTACCTACAGACCTCGACGCGTCGCAGACGGGTTCTTCACCTGAGAGGTACAGCCAGGCCAGCTCCACCAACCCGGAAAGACCGAGCGAGAGCAGCCAGGGCCACAACTCGACCGACCCAGGAGACCCGGACGGGAGTTGCGGCGTCAGGCCTGGCCCACCTCACCAGGCGGTTCCATCAGCGGAGTGGAGAGCGACGCGGAGCCCGTCCGAACCGGCCAGCGACCTCACACAGACTGAACCGCGCAAGTCAACTAGGCAAACCCGTAGCCCCGCCTACCTGCGCGACTACGTCACAACACAGCGTCAGACGAAACCATGAGGGGAGGGGTGTTCTGTATTAGCATTCGCAGAGAAACCCGCACCCGATTGGCCCGCCTGAACTGAAGCCCGATTGGCTGACTGCCGGGCCGTGATTGGAGCGCCACGAATCTCCCGCGATTGGCCGAGCCGATCGCGGGAAATTCGAAGCGCTGCCATTGGCCGCCGAGCCGCCGGCCGGCAGTATAAAGCCAAGCGGGTTTACACAGTTACTTTGTCCATAACTAGAGCTGAATAAAAAGAGCTGAATGTTCACTTGCGTCTCGCCTCTTTTGTGACCCGATCCCGGATCTAACA